GACAATCGAGATATTTGAACAATCGAGACAATCGACTAAAACATCTCGGGCTCGCCCATCACTACTTTTGACATTTTCGTTGGTTCCCATTTAAATAACCAAAAACTTGATTTCAACAGAATTGAATCGTATAAAAGCTTCAAGAAAACACAAAAGAGGATGAGCAAGAATTGCTTTCAAATACCTGAATCATGTAAATCGCGTTATGTAAACGCAGCGTCATTCCCCTTTTGTTATATACCAACCACATTTTATCATGGGTGTCCCGGACACTGAAATTCTTGCAGGGCTGGTTTTTGAACAGTTTAACCTCTTACCAAAAACCGGGAAGCCTGCTGCCAACGAATGGACTGTCTTGTCGGCGGTCCTGCTCCATAATGCCACCGAAGAAAAAACCAATGTTGTAACAATAGGATGTGGCACGAAGTGTATAGGTAAAAGTAAGCTTTGCAATAGTGGGTTGATCTTGAACGACTCACACGCTGAAATTCTAGCAAGACGAGCATTCCTGCGCTACATATACCATCACTTGAAAAAAGCTTTACGATCAAAACTAGTAAATGATGACTGTAATTTTGAATGGAATGCCGAAAATGTAGCATTCCGACTACGACCAAACCTTAGTTTTCATTTTTTGAGCACCCAAACACCTTGCGGGGATGCCTGCATCTTGGATGAGAAACAAGTGAGCACCGTTGCACTTCATAGGAATGAAGATGATGACGGAGCAGCTGTTGCTAAACAGCGAAAAGTTTATTACGAAAACGCAAATAAAACATCCAACTTTGCTGATAACGTAGGGTCCACTTTGGATTCTTCTGTCGGTAGTCTTGTCTACACTGGTGCAAAACTTATCGGCTTAGGTGTTCAGCAGGATGCTATGCAGCAAAACATTGGCGCCATGCGCACAAAACCCGGACGTGGCGATCGCACACTTTCCATGTCTTGCAGCGATAAGCTAGCACGTTGGAATGTGCTTGGCGTACAGGGAGCGCTGCTGGATGCGCTACTTGTTGAACCTATTTACTTCAAGTCCCTTAACTTTTGTGGTATCCCTCAAAACGAGCTAGCTATAAGACGTGCCATATGTGGTCGTTTTGTTGATAGAGAGTTTCATACCAGCAGGTTTAAGATTCAAAATCCGGATATAAATTTCGCTGAAGCGGTTGTATTTGACTATGCAGCGAATATCAACAGACAGAACCCATCGCCTACCGGACTATCCTGGTGCAGCATTGATCAGAATTTAAGGTTAGGCAAATTTTGTTAAAAAATTTTTACATTACTCTTAACTGCATAATTTTCTCCAAAGACCTTATGAAATATCCGTGAATGGTATGCGACAAGGCGTTACCAGAAAAAAGGTGAACACCCCACAGGCCGCTCTTAAAATTTCCAAATATCATCTTATAAATGAGTTTGTGGCGCTTTTGAGGATAGAACCAAAGTTGATACAAAAATTTCAAATCGATCCTAATAAGCTAGCCGAAATGAAATACAATCAATATAAGCAGCTAGCAAAAGAATATCAAAGGGCATGGACACTGGCAAAGCAGGAGTACTTCCAACAATGGACTCAAAAACCAGCAAGTTTGTTGGAATTTTGTTTGATGGCAGAAAAAACGTGACGCTAACTAAATATCAGTTTTTAGTAGTTCGGACTCTTTTAATAATAATAATGCTTAGGCGCTTACACTTTTGCTAAGTGATTGGCCGAACTTCTCCATTTTGTGGTGTTCGTCTTGATTTTATTACACAAACCCAGTGTTACACCACCTCCGAACGACAAAATGGATTTTATGAGAAGTTTTTGCATGATAGAAATTAATTATTAATTATATACCATCGTGTACCGCGTATAGCTAAGACAGAAACACACACTTTTAAGTGAATTATTTTTTAAGTTATTTATTTGTATATATGTATATAGGATGTATAGTATATATGCATGTATGTAATAATATATTGGTGATTTTTATACTACTGTTTAAAGAATATTTATGTACACATTATGTTAACCTTCATGCCGACATTGGATTTTCTTTTTCAATTAAGTAAGCGAAACAGTTTGCAATAAATTTAAAAACGAATATTTAGATTTTATAATTTTATTCATTTTTAAGTACAAATTACTCTGATGTGTTATGTTAATTAATATGTATATATGTATGTAGGTACACATAGATTATATTTTTTTTCTTTTCAAAGGGTAAACGTAATTATATTTTTGAACTTTTGTTTTTAATCAATGCAAGGGCCATAATGACAAATTTTAATATGGCGATTATAGGTTAAGCTGTCGACAATAAGAAGTTTCACATAGACGAATATTACGTTCATAGCGTTAAAGACGCTACGGCGGGTTGTTCGAACTATGCCAATATACATATCGCACACCTATGTACATATAAAAAATCAATTTATAGGACTCACATCCAATTAATGGAAGCTTTTTTTCTTCACGATTATATACATTAACAAA